TCCTGGTGTCAGAGTGCCTGTGCCTCTGCACTTTAGGAATGAGGAGAACCCCAGCCCAGTGGGGCCAGCAGGGGCTCCTGTACTGCACGGATGACTTGTTACCTTGTCCCAGCTCACCTGCCTGTTCCTCTCCAAGACGGCTTCCATCCCCTTTGATTTGAGCTGCCAACTCATCAGCGAAAGACATGGGCTTTTTCTGTGGGTAGGAGAGACCAAAAGAAGTACTCTTTTTAATAGACAGATAAGTGCATTTTACTTTTGGACACCTAGCAAACCCACATTCTCAGCAGCAAAGAAACTGAGCTGAGGAGAAAACAGGGTTTGATGAAATGAAGTTGAACACATGCACCCAACAGAGGTCGCCTGAGGGACAGGATTCATAAAATGTGCCATCAAAAGACTTTTTATTTCCTCGCCAATACAGTATGCCTCCCTGTGATGTTGTGGTTCAGAGTTCCAAACCTCAGTAGTTCTTGGATTTTTCCTTAAAACTTAACTAACAACTGCTCACAGAAACCCCCGCCATTTTGTGAAAACCCCAAATATCCTCTGTAATTGTTTCTCTGGCAGAAAGTTTGTAAGTGTCCAGTCCAAGAGTGTTATTCAGTTCTCCTTACTGCTGACTGGTTGCTGCCTTGGGGCGGATACACCAGCATTCCCACATCATAAGAGGTTGATGTACCTATGTAGCTATCTCCAGTGTTCTCAGTTTTGTTCTTCTTAAAGGCCTAAGATGCTGCCTAAGCACCCTGCACCTTCTAAGGCTTTACTAATAATATTATTTTATTAAATTAAATTATGTAACTACAGGAGACATAGAATATTTAGGGTTTAAACTATAAAAATAGACATTTATAGGCATTTTTCTGACCCTTATCTGAAATTCTTGGTTTTTCACAATTTGCGGGTGCTCTAGGAATGTAACCCTTGTGAATTTTGGGGGCCCACTGTACTTTACTCGAATCTAGGTAAAGATGAATAGGTAAGAAAATCTCAGTGAGAAAACTAGAATAGATGCTGGGGTGAGAAGAGAGGAGCACAGGTCCTTAAACTCTAGAATTGAGTATATTCTGAAAACCCTGACCTATAAAATCCTAACATAGGGAGAAGAAAGCGGCACTTATAAGACAATTGGGGTGTTTGCCACTGTTTCAGGAGTGTAAGTGAACTTAGAAATGCTACACAAAACCAGTCAGCTACACAGCTGAGTGACAATACAGGGAATGAGCTACAGGTACCATTTCTAAAACCTTGTTGAATGACAGCAACAATGGTTTCTTACTGGCTTAGTATCTTTGTCAACGTCCTCAATATCCTCCTCCTCAGAGTCAGCGAAGAGGTCAGCATCATCATCCTCTTCTTCATTGCTCATCTGTGTGGTGTGCTGAGAGTACACAACACCAGGTTAGAACTATCAGATGCAAAGCAGCAAGGTGAAAAGACACTGTCGCTTAGCTTTTAGGCTCCTCCTTCAAAAAAGTAACAGCTTTTAAAAATAATGATGAAAATAAGGCAGCAAGTGCTGAAGCAGTGCACATGCTGATAATACACAGGGCTGACTTATCAGAATCCAAAGGCGGCCTTTACTCCTTAGCAAGAATACAAAAGCAAAATACTGAAATATGCAAAATGTTCCTCAGTACAGAAATACAAGTAAATACAGTCTGATCTTAATACAAACGTGGAATAATAGTTAAAAGGTGTAAGCTGCAATACGGAAGAGCCATCTGAGGCAGATCAGGAAAAGCACAGAGTGATGAATCCAACATGACACCTGCCTGCCCCTACACATCAGTCTCTGTGGATAAGAACACACTTGCACAGG